CGCTCCCCAGCGGCGGGACTGGGGTGGCCGGGGTCGCCGAGGCACCGGGGACACCAGGGACACCAAGGCAGATGAGGACTGGAGCCTCCAGTCGCGTCCGGCGAAGCCACAGGGAGCGCTCAGCGCGACTGTTATTAAGTGGCACCGAAGGGACGCACCATTTAAATGAGAGGGCGAGCGGTGGGGAGTGTGGGTCGAGGTGCAATTGTCACGCCTCTCATTTTAACTTTCCAGTTCAGCAGTCCGGGTCCTTGCTGAAAGATACGCCTGGAGTTTTTAGATTGTCTTGTTTGCTAAGTTAATGGGTGACGCGAATGACAATCTGCGACGAGCTGAGATCACAGTCCTTAGACAGGTAAGTGATTATAAAGAACAGGAAGAAATCTGATTGGTTGGCTGCGTTTCCGTTTAACAAACATTCCTTTTTGTTTTTTTGTTTTTGTTTAGGCGGTTGACCTGTGTGGGGATCCGAACCCATGACCTCAGTGTTATTCAACAAACATTTCTGATCGCCTACAGTCTGTAGTAGAAATGGTAGTTGCTGTAATATTAATAATGATATCTACTGTTTCATGAGCCTCAGGATGTGACATACACGCTTGGCACCTTTTACATTAACTGGCGTAATTCTTACTATTACCCTTAAGATAGGAATTATCTCCTTTTTTCACATGAGGAAACTCCTGTAGAAAGGTTAAGTCACTTGCCCGAGGAAATGGTGGAGACTAAAATTTTTAATCCTGGTCTGATTTCAGAGCCTTTTCTCTTAATTACAATGCTGTACTTTGTAAAGTCCAAAAGTAGATAAATGCCAGCCAGAGGCACAAATGTCTGCACTGAAATGAAGACACTTGAAAGCATACAGAAGAAAATATTATTTCCAGTACCAACACTCATGACATTTTATGTGGCTTACCTTGAAATACTACTAACAACACATGAGTCACACTCATAAAGTAATACGATTCTCAGGTTTTCCTCCTAAAACAGACCTTCCAGACAAATGTGCCAGCCTTAGGGCTATTTCAGGTTGTACTTGTTCATTTTCATACTTCTTTATAATTTGCCAGTTGATCCTTGGAAAACAATCCACAGAATGCATTCAGTCCAGCCGGGTGTATGAAGAAAGCTGTATCAGATTTTATTTTTTGTAAACTGGTATTATTTGTATAACATTTTCAGAAGGAACTAAAGAGGGAAATAGAAACTAAATCCAAGTAACTTAATAGCTTAAACAAATACGTGGTTTGGTCCCAACTGTGTGAAATTTTTGACATCTACATATCATATATTATATTAAATGTACATTATTACATATAACATGTATTTAAAATATATATACTATATTAGAGATAGTATTAAGTATTGTATATATGTATCTATGAAGCAACCTGTAAGAATCACACAGAGGAATCTAGCTTGAGGACCATTCTAGGAATTGAATTCACTTCTGGAAACCTCTTTAAAGCCAGTAGCCCAAGATATGGGAAAAGGCTATTTAAACCAAATTTGTGTTTTGGACACCTAGAGTTAAGAACAGAATCTCAGACAGTTAATGACCAGTACATCTCTGCAGTTATGTTAGAGGAAGAACAGTTTAAGGTTAAACTTGTAGATTTTGAAACTGGACCTGACTTTGCTTCCTAGTAGCCATGATATCTTGGTCAAGTGCTTACTTTTTATATCTTACATTCCCATATCTAAAATGGGAATAGTGATTATTCCAGGGTTATACAGGGTTAAGTGAGATTATACGTGAATAGTCCCTGACACTATTAAGTGCTGACATTGTTTAATTGTTTAGCTACTTTCCAATTTATTGGGAATGCATTGGTGTAAATTATGGCTTGGAAGTATTGCTATCAGACAATAACTGTTTTCCCTAGTTATTTCCCCTTGCTTTGTAACACTCATGTAATGCCATGAACTACATATAATCTTTTTTTTTTTTTTTTTTTTGGCTTTTGTCTTTTTCCGTGTCTGGCAACGGAACGCAACCCTCAGTGTTGCCCCCGTACCGGACCAGGGACCGGCTACGGGATTGCGACCCTCGGTGTTGCTCCCGCGCCTCGCTCAGCCAGTGAGCAGGAACTGGTCTGTATGTGGGATCCGAACCCTCGGGCGGAAGCGCCGCCGCGCTTCCCAAGCAGCGCACTATCCAGTGCGCCACCGGGCCGGCCCCTACATATAATCTTTATTCTATTCTTCTTTCAGATCTTTCAGGTGCCTGATGCATATCTTCAAATAATATTTTCAAGAATGCAGATGCTTCTCAATTTATGATGGGATTATGTCCCATTAAATCCACCATAAACTGAAAATATTGTAAATTTCAAATGCATTTAATACACCTAACTTACTGAACACCATATGTTAGCCTAACCTAGCCTAACTGTACTCGAACACTTACATTAGCCTGCAGGTGGGAAAAATCCTGCAATGCAAAGCCTATTTTGTAATAAAGTGTTGAATAGATCATGTAATTTACTGGATACTGTACTGAAAGTGAAAATCAGAATGGTTGTATAGATACTCAAAGTACAGTTTCTACTGAATGCATATCATTTTCACACCAACATAAAGTTGAAAAATCATAAATTGAATCATCGTTACGTCGGGGACTATCTGTATGTGAATGCTCTATTTTCTAAGCCTTTGAATATGAGATGATCTTGCCCAACTCTAAGATAATGTAAATGTTCCGAGCACACTCATTCACGTCTTCACTTATGAGAAAAAATTCAGCTGGGCAAATTCTTAGGTCTTACTATTTTTTCTTCAGAAATTTGTAGGTATTTTTCTATTGTCTTCTATAGTTTATTATAGGAAAGCCACCTGAGGTCAGCCAGATTTTAGTTTTCTCATAAGTAACTGGCTTTATGGCTGAATGCCAATAGATGGTTTTTTTTTTTTTTTTTTCTTTATACTTGGATTCCCAAACTTTCGCCAGGATATTTCTAGAATAGCACCCTTTTCATTACTACTGGCTTTATGGCTGAATGCCAATAGATGGTTTTTTTTTTTTTTTTTTTCCTTTATACTTGGATTCCCAAACTTTCGCCAGGATATTTCTAGAATAGCACTCTTTTCATTACTACCATTTAGAATGGGGGGGGGGGCTTGTTTTTTAAAATTGTAACTTTAATTATTGTTGTAGTTCCAATTGTTCTAGTATCTTCCTCAGAAATCTATAATTCTTAAATAAAACTTCCCAGTTCGCTATATTTATCATTTGGATCTTTTCTTCCTTTTATCTGTGCACCTAAGAGATGAAGTTTATCTTTCACGTCATTAACTCCAGTGTCTGCCATGGTAATGCTAGACTTTATTATTCCTGATGTAGATTTTACTTCTGTTGTTACATTTTAACATCACTGAATTTTTCAATGTAATCTCCTCTCTTTCATCTCATTCTAAAGTCTTTTCATTTTTAGAATGCCAAACAATTTTCTTAAAGTTTTTTTTAAAATTCTATAAAAGTTATTTAATATTTATAGTGTTTTCTTTCCCTGACTCTTTGAAACAATGTCCCCATTCCTTTGTCCCTCCGAATTTTTTCATAGGACATATATGGATTATTCTTCTGATAATCATCTCAAATGAAAAAGTAATTTCCAGACGTAGTGTTTGCCAAAAAATCAGTTGTGTTGCTTTCCATTTTGGGTCTTCTTCTGTGCTTGGCTTATTTCACTTAACATAATTTTCTCCAAGCTCATCCATGTTGCTGCTAATGGCAAAATTTCATTCTTTTTTATGGCTGAGTTGCATTCCATTGTGTATATGTATCACATTTTCCTTATCCAGTTGTCCATCTATGGTTTAATTTTTTTAAAGCAAAGTGGTTAGAAGGAAGCCAGTGGAAATGGGCTAATAGTTGGTGGTAGTTATTCCCAAGAGGAAAAATAACCTAGAATGTGCTGACTTGTGTCATAGTTCATGCAAGGATAGACTATGCCCCAAGAGCTCTTGAATTTTTCACCAGAAGACATAACCATCCCTCCTCATCTTGGAACATCCCCCCTGTATTAGTCAATTTATGTTGCTTATAACAAAATACCTGAAACTAGGTGATTTATAAAGAAAAAAAAATTTATTGCTTCCAGTTTCTGAGGCTGGGAAGTCCAAAGTCCATCTGGTGGTGGCAACAGTGACCCAGGGGTCTCACATTGCAAGATGGTGGAAGCAGAGAGAGCAAGAGAGAAAGACAGATTCTCCTCTCTCT